TCTTTGGAATCATCCGTAGAGACTATCGAGAGACTTCTCATAAGCACTTTTCGGTATAGCCTTGAGCTCTTCCAGCGATGCAGTCTTTATCTCTTTAATCGTTGAAAATCTCCGTCCTTTCATAGGTCTCTTTAGTTTTGGAGACTCTTTAGTTTTAGAACAAGAAAAAGTCACATGGGGCCAAATCCGGTGAATATGGTGGCTGAGGCATGATTGTGGTGTTGTTTTTGGCCAAAAAATCTCTCACAAGCAAAGATGAGTGAGCAGGGGCATTATCGTGATGCAAAAGCCATGAATTGTTTTTCCACACTTCTGGGCGTTTTCTTCGTATTGCTTGACGCAAACTTCAAGATAATACTGTTTATTGACCGTACGTCCATATGGTAAGAACTCCTGATGCACCACGCCATGGTAATCGAAGAAAACAGTGAGCAAAACTTTGACATTCGATCGAACTTGGCGTGCTTTTTTCGGTCTTGGCTCATCTGGGCTCTTCCATTGGGATGATTGGACTTTGGTTTCGATATCATAACCATATACCCATGATTCGTCACCAGTTATGACCCTTTTGAGTAAATCTGGGTCGTCGTTGATGTCATTCAACAGTTCTTGAGCGATGCTCATGCGACGGTTCTTTTGGTCAAAATTTAGCAATTTCGGAACAAACTTCGCTGACACAAGTCTCATGCCCAAAACGTTAGAAAAAATTTCATGGCACGAGCCAAGCGATATACCAACATCCTCAGCAACTTCTCTGATAGTGATTCGACGATTTTCCAGAACAATTTTCTACACTGCTTGAACGTTTTCATCAGTTGTTGACGTGCTTGGGCGTCCAGAGCGAGGCTCGTCATTGGCATCTTCCCGGCCATCTTGGAAGAGTTTGTACCACTTGTAAACATTTTTTTTACTCAGAACAGCTTCACCGTATGCCACCGTCAATATTTCAAGTGTTTCGGAGCACTTTATTTTATTTTTTACACAAAATTTGATGCAAATCCTTTGATCCATATTTTTCGATAGCAAGAAATCGCCGAGCACGCAAAACACTTATAACCTTTACCCATCTCACAACCAAACAAAAATGCTATACACTTGAAACTTGGTACAGATGTTCGGGAAGAGTGTAGAAAATTATTTCTGATATATTGTTGAAGTTAAAATATTCAAATTAAAAAACATTATTTAATAATTTCTAATGCCTAATTTCTAGTTGGAAAGGGAAAAATTCGTTAGTCATGATGAGAACAGGATACAGACGAGATGTTATGGCCCTCTTCTCTTATCGACATTTCGGCGCCCACGTTTTCGGAGTCTGCATGCACTTTGTATGCAAGTGCGAGGGTGCGAGGGGCGGAAGAGCGTAATAAAAAAAGGAATGCACGCTTAAATAAATTTGGACTATAGATTTTATTGCTATTTGGAGATTGTCAAGGAAAATTTCCCTGCGACACTTGACTCGGTTCCCACAGCTCATGGGAAACGGTTTCAACTCTGCCATTAATCTTAATACTAAGAAAAAATTATTCCCTTGAAATTTGAAAGTTGAAATCATATGACCCGCCGTCACACTGTCGTCGAAATCATCCCAGAACATCGCAAGGTGTATATATGTTTATGATTTTTTTATGATATATATGTATATATGATTTTTTTATATATGACTTTTTATATTTTATATATATATATTTTTTTTTTCACAATTTGAAATTTTTATTCATTTAATTCCAACGTATTGAAGCATTCTCGAAAGATTTTTCCAATATTTTTGCACTTCATTATAAGAAGCTATTTGACTATAGATTTCAATGCATCAAAAGATTGAGAAGTATAGCTTAACGGAAAGTCCTTGAATGATCTACAATAACAAATGCAAAGGAATTTCGTTTGGTCAAGTACATTCTTGATTAAAAATCGTCTTAAGTTTTATAAATTGAAGAATATACAAATTATATATAATTTTTCTTTAGATATATTTTGTTTTGTGAATGTTATCAATTTTGTAGATTGTTGTGGGAAATTCTGATTTTTGTTTCGAGAGAAAATAATTTTTTCTACATTTCACAGCACTTTGTACGGCGTTTTTTAAAAATTGAATTGTCACGAGTATTCAAAGTTACATTTCAATAAATGATCCCTTATTTTTCTAAAATTTCCGTAGTCAACAATATTGAAATAAGTATACGTAAGTAAAAACTAAGCTTTATAGGCTTTTTTTCAGCGTTAGAAAAATGTTAGACAATTTTTGATGCCAGATTTGGATTTATAGTAGCAAATTGTATAAAATACTGTGCTTTGAAATTAATTTTGAAACGGTTAAGACTGGCAAAAGTAGAAAAAAATCGTAAAAATTTTGTTGCATCAAGTTTCGAAGGTCATTTGAAAGTCATATAATAGAACTATCGTCTTTATAGTATTTTTCTCGGATTGTACATCAGTCTCGGTTTCATTAGCTCCCCGGCTCATATTTTTGGCTTCATTCTGAGCTGAGATATTTGATTTTTTCACACTTAAAAAAAAATGGTCCATAGTGCGCCACCTCCATCTACTATATCGGTCAGCGAGCCTCAACGAAAAATAATGTGGCGAGTTGCGCCACAGTTAGTGAGCCAGAGATTCTCTATTCCACCATTGTAATGACAGATGCGCTTGACAATTGAGTCTCTGCATGTGCGCAGCAGAGTCGCTTCATCGTAGTCGCATATTCGGTGAAAGAGCCTTTTATACCACGTTGATGATTTCCATCTTGTCATCCATATTAGCGTCTTCATCGATTTTTCTTGGGCTTTTTGTAATCTTGTACAATGTGGTCAACCTTTTTGCACTTAGAACACTCGTTCTCCGAATCGTATTGTCTTGTGTCTCACTGTCTGTTGCTTGTTGCAATGAGTGTGGCGATTTCTGTCTTCTCATCCTCTTTGTCATCGATGTTCCGTCTTTTCTCTTTCAACAACCTTTCATGTAGCTGATAAAGCGTCTGTTTTTCTTCAGCTACACTCTTCTATGCTACCACAAAATAATCGAAATATTGCGGTAGTCTTCCGAGAATTTTAGCCATGACGGATGCATCGGAGATCTCTTTCAGATCACCGAGTTTCTTAACAATGTGCTACATACGTGTCTCATACGTTGCCACTGACTCTTTCTCCTCCATCTTTGACGCATGAAATTTCTGGAGTAGTGTCATTTTGTTCGAGCCTGAATTTTCTTCGTAAAGGCTATTTAGTTTTATCGAAATTTCATGAGCAGACTTACATGTAATAATTTGATCCTTAAGCGACTTTGTCAAAGTTTTCAAAAGATGCTCGGCTCCGTCGAATTGGCTTTTCCCCATTTCTTCATCCCTTCCGCGTCTAGGAATCTAATTTGTGCCATCAACAATGTCGAACACGTCCACTGCAATGAACACATGCTCCATTTTGAATTTTCAGATATGAAAGTCAGTTCCATCGAACTACATGACGAATTTTATTTATAAAATATCGGCCATTTGTGCTTGTCGTTACTTGTGGAATTTTACTGAAGGGGATCTGCGACGAACTTTCTCGCTTGATACTTTGAGCCAAGAGCATTACACTCAGTTACTACTTTTACTGTCTTATGAGTTGATCTGGGCCCATAACATTTTGTTATTTATTTTTTAGGTTATGAGTTCTTGAATGAGTAAGAAGTGGAATTAACAATACAGTAATGAAATATGTTTATTATAGCAACAACATAGAATCCTCAGAATTGATTACGTTGCGTGAGTGCGAGAGATGAGCATCTGTAAGGCTAGCTATGGATTTCGCGCCGAGCGCGCTGCTCGTCGGGAAAAAAGCGAAGGGAGTGCAGCTAACATCAAACATAATCCATCACTGCCACATACTCACATACGTATATTCGTTCATTGCAACATCACATAAAATATTTGAATTCAGTAATTGATAAATTGAAAAAAGAAAAGAAAGAGAATGCTAGATTAATGAAAAATAAAACGGAACAACTTAGAAAATGAAAAAATCGATTAAATTCAAAAGTAGAGAAAAATTGAAATATTTGTGATCTATTAAAACAAGAAAATGTCAGTGAATTTCAGGAAACTTTCATTATAATACATTTTAAACCCAAATTTAGCGTTTGAGTCTTTTAAATTATTGAGTTTATTCTCAACTGTGAGCAAGCGCAGTACTTACGTTGTTAAAATTTTTTGCACCTCAATTTTTCATGCAAAATTTACGCAACTTTATCTTATAATATGCCTCTGGTCTCAACTTATTTGTGCACTTTGATCGTGGATCACTTAAAATCATATCATGGATTTTCTTAATCACGTCGGAAGCAGTTACTTCCAACGGGCATCTTGAACGATGTTCATCTTTTATGGATGTACGGTCATGTTTAAACTCATTCACCCAATTGTAAATAGTTGCAAACATGGGCAGATTTACTGTGAACTTTATTCAATTCAGCTTTGATTGTTATTCGTTCTTTTTGTTAAACCTTTTAAATAGAATTGTTTCACTACCACTGGGAACTCGCTTTTTTCCATTGTTAACGATAAACAAAAATTATTTATTTTGATCGACGATAAAAACAAAATCTCTTTGTGGATCTGGCTGAAAATTTGGCAATACGTATTTCTGATAGAAGTGATGCTTGCTGTTGCATCGTAAGTTGTGAAGCTTTTGCGTGCCATGTTTTGAATTTTCTTACTGAACAACCTTCGTATATGTCTATTCGCCTGTAAGATTTTACTTTTCGAGAAAGAGATATGATATATATTCATATTTTTCTTAAATATTAAATGTTATTTAGAATTAAGTTAAAATATTTATTTATAGTTATATATTACATTTTTATAGTTATATATTACATTTTTCAAAGTAACTCTAAACTATTTGTTTTTTTCGATATAATCTTCATTATGTGCTTTGAAATTCATTAATCTCATTTTTCGTTTCTCGCAAAGCCTTTTAACATTTTATGTTTTATATTAAAATGTTTTTATTATTTTTTAGTAAATTCAAAGCTCCCGTTCCTGATAAAAGTTATGGCAGAGGTAGAGATTGGAACGTAGATTTGATTCCAAAATTTCTGATGGCTAATGGACTTCTAGTTAAACTTTTAATACATACAGGAGTTACACGTTATGTAGAATTCAAATCTATAGAAGGATCTTATGTTTACAAGTCTGGAAAGATATCAAAAGTTCCAATCGATCAACAAGAAGCTTTGTCCAGCGATCTAATGGGTATTTTTGAAAAGAGGCGCTTTAAAAACTTTTTAGTATGGGTTCAAAATGTACAAGAAGACGATCCGAAGACGTGGGATGGATTTGATCCATTCAAAAATCCAATGAGTGCTTTGTACAGCAAATTTAATTTAGACAGAAATACACAAGATTTTACAGGACATGCTTTAGCTCTATACAGGTACTATATTACTTTTTATTTTATATTACTTGTATATACGAGGGTCGTTTGAAAAGTCCGTGCAAAAATAAAAACTGCTTGATTTTTTTAATAAATCTTTTTTATTTTTCAACATAGTCTCCTTTTAGGCTTATACATTTCATCCAACTCTGCTCTAGTTTGTTAATCCCTTCCAAATAATAGGATTTGTCCAAGTCTGTAAAATAAGCATTCGTTTCTGCAATCTCCTCCTCGGTTGAATAAAATCTTTTCCCCGCCAGCCATTTTTTCATATTAGGGAACAAATAGTAGTCCGACGGAGCCAAGTCTGGAGAATAGGGGGGATGTGAAACGAGTTGGAACCCTATCTCCATCAGTTTTGCGGCCATAACTGCTGAGGCGTGAGCTGGCGCAGTGCCGTGGTGGAAGAGGACTTTTTTGTGGGCCAATCGTGGACGTTTCTCTAGCAACTCGGGTTTCAAACGATCCAATAACGATGAATAATATTCGCCTGTAATGGTTTTACCCTTTTCCAGATAGTCGATGAAGATTATTTCTTGCGAATCCCAAAAGACAGTCGCCATAACCTTCCCGGCCGAAGGAATTGTCGTCACCTTTTTCGGAGCAGATTGCCCATTGTTTAGACTGTTCTTTGGTCTCAGGAGTGTAGTGATGTATCCATGTTTCATCTACAGTGATGAAACGACGCTTAAAGTCTTGTGGATTTTGCTGGAACAGCTGCATATCATTCTTGCAACACTTCACACGATCTCATTTTTGGTCAATCGTGAGCAATCGCGGCACCCATCTAGCGGATAGCTTTTTCATGTCCAAATGTTGGTGCAAAATATTATGTACCCGTTTTCTTGGGATGCCTACAGTACTAGCAATCTCACGCACATTCACTCTTCTGTCAGCCATCACCATGTCATGGATTTTATCAATGATTTCTGAAGTGGTAACCTCAACAGGGCGACCAGAACGTTCAGCGGCTTTTGTGCTCATATAGCTACTCTGAAAATTTTGAAACCACTTATAAACCATTCTAATTGAAGGTGCACAATCACCATAATGTTTATCAAGCTTCTGTTTAATCTCCTGAGGCGTTTTGCCTTTGAAAAAGTAATGTTTAATCAATACACGAAATTCTTTTTCGTCCATTTTTTTACAACCACTCGATTTCTTTGATTGAAACGAATGTAAAACGCAAAGTAATGGGCCGATCTGGCTGAAACTTGGTGTGTGCTCTTCCAAGATATGCCACTAACTGAAAATAACCTTGATACGCACTATTAGCGCCATCTCTCTGACTTTGCACGGACTTTTCAAACAACCCTCGTATAATTTCACGCATATATCCATCCAAACATACATTCAAATTTCATGAAAGAAGAATTATTTTTATAATTAGAAATGATGATCTGATTGGTTGAAGAATTCTTATGTAGGTTACTGCTATGTGATCATATAAGTTAGGTGTTACTGATTGTATCATATGTGTGTGTGCACGGGCGCGTGTGTGTATATTTAAGTTCATATTTTATCACATGTGTAAACGTAAGTTACAGTGAAATGACACTTATGCAGACACACGGTATACTTAGCGGACTATACTAAAAATGAATTTAAGGGTCGATACCCCAAGCCACCCCGGGGATGAAAGAACAACGTTGGCCACCATTTCCACCTATTTCGTTGGAACAAACCATTCAAAATCATTACTTACGCATATGCGCGAAGCCGATGGTCGCTTTGAAGATTTTCAGTGGTGTGTGATATATGATTTTTGATACGTTTATTTTTTAAGACAGCATTTCGGAAAATATATTCGTCTTTCATTCGAAAAGTTCTTTTCTTTTCTTCCACAGAATCTGCACTCACTTTCTTTATACCCTTTCGCCCGTTCTCTGCCTAAGTTCCCACATCTTATTCTCGCCTATTGTTCTTTTATCCATCCCGGAATCTTCCTGTCCCTCCAATAAGCCTCTCCCCCGACCGTCTCTTTCAGTCTTTTATAAAGTTCGCTATATGTTGACCCGTCAATTTGGCCTACAGGCTTTGTAGTTCTTGTTCTGCTTTTCTTTATATCCCTCTCTCTATTTTGCCCTTTATTTTTTCTACTTCTTTTTTGTCCCATATCAATTTTAGAATTTCCCCACCCCATACCCCTTCCAATAGCATTTGTACCTTCTTTTCCCATTTCGTCGGATTCTTATTTAGTATGCTCCTCACTTTCTCCTTCAAGCTAATTTTTGGCCATCTCCCTTCTTTTAATTTTTCTATCTCAACCAAATACTCCATTGCCCTCCTAGCTGTCTGCAACTCCATCGACGCCCTACCTGCTTCCATGGCAACTATATAATTTGGCGTGTTACTATTTAATCTCATAGCTATTTTTATAATTTTCCTTTGTACCTTCTCAAGATTTTCCCATTTCTGCCACCCCCAAATCTCTAGACCATATAAACATCCCGCTTTTATTATACTATCCAGAAGATATAGCCTTTTCCTTAAATTCTCTATTTTTGCCCTTTTTAAAATACTCCACACCGCATTTTTTGCCCTACTTGCTTTGTCTGCTATTTTGTTTATATGTGTCGTATTCACATTTTTTTGAGTAAACTAGTACCCCAAGTATTTAAATTCCCTAACTACCTCCACTTTTCTGCCTTTGTATGAGAAGACCTTCTCTCTTTACTTATTTTTCCTTCACAACAAATTATTATCTTAATTTTCTCTGTATTAACTTCTATTCCTATCCCATCACTGTAAATCTCTGTTTCTTTCAACATTTCCCTCATTCCTTCCTCATTATCCGCCACAATTACAATATCATCCGCGAACTTTAAACAATAGAATTTTTTCCCTCCCACTACCGTTCCTCCTATTTCTTTCTTTTCCCAAGTATCTACCCTATCGTCCATGAACAAACAGAATAGGTTAGGGCTCAATGGGCACCCCTGCTTTACCCCCTGGTGCGTCAAATTATCATAATACGAGTGAGAGAGTAGGTTGTGAAGGAGTGATAAAGAAGTGAAAGATAAGCGCGAGTAAGAAGAAAATGAGTGAAAGTACGAAGATCAATAAAAGTGTGGTTATGGCGACTCTCACTCGTCAAAACTCTCTGATAACCCCTCACTAGATATTACCTCATTCGTTGTTGATTTGTAAATTGTTTTTATCATCTGCAGCATTTTCCCTCTTATCCCCTTCTTTTGTCATTTTTTCAACATTTTATCCCTGTTTATTCTGTTAAACGCATTTTTGAAATCAATGAATCCTAAATACAATTTGCCTCCTTTCCTTTTTAGTTTATTGCCTATAATCGAGTTCAATACAAAAATGTGCTCTCTCGTCCCTCTTTTCCCTCTCAATCCTGCTTGACTATCCCTATATACCTTATTACTCTCTACCCATTCACTGATTCTTCCGGCCATTATTTTCGCCATTAATTTATAGCTCATGTCTAGCAGCGATAATTTCTAGCCTCCTCATCCTCACCACTTTTCAATATTGGGTAAATTCGTGATATTTCCCATCCCCCTAAAATCTTGCTCCTGTCCCATAATTCACTAAACATTTATATTATTGTTTTTATCCAAATATCCGGTGGTCCTCTTATGAATTCAATGGAGAGTCCGTCTGACCCGCTGCTTTACCGTTTTTCATTTGTTTCAAGGCATCTCTAAATTCTTTCTCACTTATCCTCCTATTTAACATGTCTTCAACCTCCCCCTCTTTTGTCCCCTCGTTCGCTTTTTTCATCTGGTTCGCGTTTCCCCTCTCATTCTCGTCCCCCCCCCCCCCCCATTCATGCTTTCCTCCTTGTTCGGGTTACTTCTCCCTTCCTCTCTTGCTCCTAGTAAATTCTTAAAGTGTTCGGTCCACTCCTCTCTTTTAATTGTTTCTCCCTTTCTGCTTCTCTTCGGTTTTTCTTTATTTACTATCCTCCAGAATTCCCCCATGTCCCTGCTCGTTGCCATTACTTCGATTTTTTTTTCGTTTGCCTTTCTTACTTTTCTCGCTATCATATCTTTTAATTTGTTTTTCTCTCTTTTCCAATACTCTCTATTCTTTACCGTTCTGTCTACTCTCCATATATTCAACTCTTCCCATACTCTCTTTTTTTGCATCCTTATCTCTCTATCTCTGTTTCTATTCGACCCCCCCCCCCCCCATCCGTTACATTTCATTTTCAATTCTTCAGCTGTTACTTTTATTTTCATTACCAAATTATTCCACTTCTCCTGCAGTGATATGCCCCTTAGTTCTATCCTCCACTTTTTCCCTATCAAAACCTCGTATTCTTCTGCCTTTCTTTTTTCCATATAAGTCCTTTTCTAGCCTCTCCTTCCCTTTCCTCCTACCTTTTTTCATTTTTACCCAACTCGAAAATTACTGGTAAGTAGTCAGATTCTATCCGTGTTACTATTTCTATCCCCGTCACTATCTTTGTCAGCCCAATTCCTCCGTCTATTACCAAATCGAGGACCGATGAGTCCCTATCCCCATTAAAAGTAATTCTTCTTCTTTCTTCTCCGTTGATTCATCCGTTTTTTATTTCGGCGTTACAGTACTTCAGGCTTTCTATCAGTTTTATTCCCTCCCGCGTCGTTTTTTTATTCTGTGAATTTCTCTTTCTACCCTTGCTTATCTGTTCGCTTCCCACCCTTACATTGAAATCCCCTGCTATAATAAATTTCTTCCCTTCAACTAAACTCATCTCTATCACCCCTTTCAATTTGCTGACCATTCTGCTCGTTTTTGCGTTGTTATAAATCGTTATAACATCAATTTTTTCTTTCTCCATCCAAATATTCCTTATTACTATTCTATATTCCCATTCTTCTATCCCCCGTTTATACCTATCTCTCTCTTAATCACTATCTTACCTCCCCCCCCACTTGCTCGCCCTCACGTTTTCACTTTATTCGCCGCCTTCATTCCCCGCCTTTATTTTTTGTTCAATTTTATAATTAAATTTAGTTCTTTACTTTTTTCTACCTACGTCTCCTGTAATA